CATGAGCTATTCTTCTAGTCTGCTACCTTTGGAATGGCTGCGATGGCTCCATCTATAAATGCTACCGATATCATAATATTCACCATTCAATCATTTTCTTTTTGTTATCGATAAGATATTGTCTGTGATCTTGCTACCCTCGTCGCGATTGCGCCTACTCAATTTTTTTTCAAGAATGAAACATCATTCGGTGAACTATAACAACGTGGAGTTCAGTCATTCTGGCTTTCAAACTCATTCAGGATATTTCTTAGTTCTTGCTGTTTCTTTGATACAGTACGTACATTAAGCAACATAATTCGATTGCCTTTCCCCTTTATTTGATAAAGATGTCCTTTATAATTTTGAATTCATAAATATAAATGAATATCAGTTTCTGCGACACGAAACCAGATATAATCTCTCTATGGTTTTCTTAATTCTCTTTCTAAGGACGTTGTCGTATCCAATCTCATCTCATCATTTTTCCGTACTCGATAGCTATTCATAAACAGATTTTTAAGTGTCAAACAGCACTAGCAGTAAACAGATCTTACATCTAGTAATCCGAATCCAGATCTCCTGAATAAACTCAAAAAGGAAATTGTAAAACTCGACTAATTATCGTAAGCGAACTATTGCCTGCATTGCGCCATATCAATTTCGATGATTACCTACAGGTGGGCGATTAGATATCGCACAAGCTTATTCCGAATCTATATCTAAATATTCTATATATTATATTCGAATCATATATTATGTGGCTAGGATTTCTTTTGTTACTGGTGAGTTTTTTTTTTTGCATTTTCAGAATTTCGTTTTTTAAAGTTTCTTGCTTGATAAGTTTTATAACTTCCAAATCATTTTCTTTTATTTCTTGGTTTTTAAACTTTTCTTTCCCCAAAATTTGCAAAAACTTCAATCGATTTATAAAAACATGAGCATTTCTATCACTTTACATTTCACATATCGTATATTTTAAGCCATAAATTTGTAAAAAAGGACTATATTAAAAATCAAATAAATTCAAAAAAATAGCAAAAGAACTTCCCGACAATCAGCAGTTGTTTTGCGTAATAAAATACTATACCATACCGTTTCATATGGAATTTGAGTTTATACACTAGTAGTAATGGAACCAATACAAATTTACTAATCTATCCTGTACTGAATGTAAATTTGTAGGAAGAAGACGAGATAATTTAAAAAAAAATTGTTTAAAAATATAGAACTATTTCTTCATAGAGCACTAAATCATCTACTACCATAGATATTCTCGCTTTTTCACAGTATCTTCTAGGTTGGAGTGGTACCAATTACTGCTGATGCCGGTATGGTTGGTGCTAGCATGAAATTATCCTGTATGTACGCTTATGCTAGTAAATTACGACCTAATCATAGGTTTTGGGCGAATGTTCAATTAATGAAGGTAGGTCATTGTTCACTAGGTTTTACGATTTTTATCATTTAAAATCCCTAAGACATTCCGTTTTTCACAGCCATCTAGTTCAATCATTGATTTTAGAAAAATGGCACGAATGATGCAGTGCTTGACGAGCAGCGACAGATAAACACTGATCGCAAGCCTTACATGTTCTTCACTCTCTCTAGCGATAATGTTAAAAATCCGCGAGATATCTATATCTACATCAAACACAACTGCGTTAAAAATGTAAGTGTCAGATCTGATATGTAAACACTGGAAAACCCATCTTCTTTAGCACACTACAATGTTCCGGGTCAAAACTGTGGATGTCAAAATGAATAGCAAAAATCCCGCGGTGAAAAATGTTGGCACAATATTTTTACCTTGACAAGGAATTCTGAATGTTGATTATTGTGCTCAATAAGCTTAAAAAGTCTTGCTGTACAGTTTTCTTGTTATTTCGAAAATATTTGTCCATTCATCCGATTGTTATTACTTCATGTGAACTGCAAATAATTGCAAATAAATAACATTAAGTGCTATTTTTAAATTTATATTATTATTTAGCACCAAATCTGCAAAGTAAGCATACTGTATGTGGTATTACTGATAAACAATCTCTGGATATAGAATGAGTGGACAGTTCGATTGCATATCCGTAGACAATCATATATAGCCTAATTTTACCACAAGGTAACAAAAACGCCCAGAGGCAAAGAGGCGCCACACCGGCCTCCTAGATTTGGAACGCGTAAATTTATAGATCAGTTGTTTCTGCAGGCAAGAAAGAAGAAAGCGGGTTTCTTGAAAAATTCCCCCTTTCTCTTCGATATCAGACACACGTGCGGGGAGTTCGGCATATGTCCACTTGTTTTCTTCATAAGATAAATGGAATGACTGCGTTAAAATAGTTACATGATTTTTCTAAGGCTCAGAGAGTGTTGTAGACTGCCGACAGTATTTTAAGAGGAGGACAAATACAAAAAAAGTTCTTTGAAGCTACCTTTCTTATCTGCACGAAAGACTGATCCTTGAAATCTAACGCAACTCTCAAAGGCCGACCCGTCGCCCTCTAATAGCAAACATTTTTTTAAACTTCTGCTAAAAAATTAACCATACTTGTCCTTTTTAAAAGGAGCAATGCCGAGTATCAACTACAAGTCAGAAAATTTCTACTCTGTAATATATCAACCACGCCTACTATAATGAAAAAATGTCTCAAATGCCTTGTTCAAGAACCGGGAGAGACTTTGGTGAATTTGGGAACTGTGACTCCAAAATTAAGGTGATATACACATCAGGTTAAGCATATTATGGGAGGCTCATAGAAAACTTTAAGCAAGTACCAGTAAAAATTAAGCTGTAAGTTTTGGATTTAGTATCTAGGTGACCATACACAGGACTAAGTCGACACCACTATACAATCACGCTGGCTGGATATGCACTATCTTCTCCACATTGTAATTTACGATTTCATCTCTCACAATTTCAATTGACAATTCTGTGAAAACATTTTGATTCGCACATTTCTGAATTAGTCATGCCGTTGTATGACCAATTCAGAAACCTCAAACTTTCAAATTGCCAACTTTGAGCCGAGAATAGCAGGCTATATCCATTTGTTGTTATGCTTACGGAGAGAATGGAAAGAAATGACTTCAAAAGTAGAACTTTTGAAAGCAGACAGAGATAATTTACAGCGCACTTCAATACGGATGTGCATCATTACTTGCGACTGCTGATTAGCCTGCAAAAACTTTTGTAGAAAGATACTACAACCTGGCAACTCTCTACGGCACTTTCTGCCTAAGTAAAGTTAGGGCAGAATCCGCTTCTTATAGAGAAAAAAGACAGGTGAGAAGGAAGCGAAAGTGTCAAGAACTTGCAAACGTTTTACAACATTTGTCGCCTTTTTCCTCCAGCCCGCAAATAATGGGC